TTTCCTGAGGAAAGTACTTCGCAGCAGCTTCTATAGATATTGAGGGCATAGTGATATAGCAGTTGGGAAAAAATATCGAAAATACGAGATACAAGAAGAAAAATTGAGTACCCAGTGGACTATGGAGATGAAGATAAAAACATTCAGCTATCGGGGGGAAGAGGAAATGGCGAAATGAGTTGCAAAGAAAAGCCCATGTATGAATCATCTCTCAAATGGAAGGCTGTCGTTACGACCAGCATATTCGAAAAAATATATGACCTATAGGCCATTGGAAGCTTAACTGACCTGGTTGAAATAGCAACTCCAAATTAGTATTCCATACAAAGGTTCGTAAAGAACCTTTGTCGAGACCCTCAGTTATCCTAGAGACAATAGACAATAAATAAACCTTTGTCATAAGATGAAAACTTTCCTCTTCTTTCAGTGAACCAACTTATAAACTTATGAATTTTTCGATATCAATGTGGACTCATCTGAGATTTTTATATTTACATCTGTTGATTTTGGAAAGGTTCATATAACAATTCGTGAACTTCTCACAAATAATTCGATTCACATATGAATCACGAGATAAAAGAATCATCATATGAATTTGAAAATAATTCAGATATGACTGGACCACACTCCACACATATTAATGTGATATTTGTACTTCATTTTCTTGAATGATTGGAAATTTTTGATAGTTAAATTTTTTCCAGAATGTGTAATTCGTTTTTCATTCTTTTTGCATTTCCTATACATTTTGAATCAAATCGTATTGAACATAATCTTTTGAACTTCAAACCAGTGGCAAATGAAATAAAATTCATGGTCGTTATTCTTTTTATAGAACTAGAGCCATTTAACGCATATGATTCATTGAGAACTATTTTTTAATTCTTGGTAAATAAATCCAAAGTTATTTTGCTTTCTTGGATGAAGAGAAACAACCCCAAGGAAAACTGAAGAATCACGATACTCCCCCTAGGGAAAGCAACGAAAAGGAGAACGGTCAATTAAAGTGCTATGAATCCAGTGTCCCATAAAGTTTTACGGTGCTTCACATCATTTCAACTTCGTATTACTTGAATGGATTGTAATTTTTGTCAGCCTTCACATACATATTTCATTCGATTTCTTCATTTTCTGAATTTACTTGTTTATATATCGTAACTGATGATATAATTCATTTTGATATTCGAGAAAAAACTGTTTCTATAGACTAGCGTACTCTCATTTTTTTCTGTATCATTGAGAAGGCAAGTAGAAAATCCTTCAGAGTACCATTGGAAGAAAGTTCTGTCCTGGAGTATTAATTGGGTGCTAATTGCCCTTTAATTACACCAATACATTTATGATGTTCATCATATTTATATTGTCTACTATACATGGTGTTTCAAATTCGATCCTCACCATTGGGATCTCGGAAACTATGGGAAACACGAAGATGGTTGAACTGGGACAAAGTTGTGCATTTACCTGACTGAAAAAGTTCTGAAATTCCGAGAATATCCGGAGATATCTGGAAAAATCAGAAATTTCGGAAAATGGTTTTTATTCTTTCTGGCTTTATTTTTCGGAGAATTCAAAAAAAAATTGCACTTCCACATTGCCACTTTTTCCCTGCTATATAATGGTGTTTTTAGAATTTCTATCTGACGTTTCGTCTTCCGGCCACCATCATCAACTTTATTTTTTCTCATGGGCGCTACATTGGATTCCTTCTGTTTTGAATAAAACCAGATTTTACCTTTTCAATAATGTTTCATAAGTTATCATCCTTTTTCGAAAAATTGAAGATATTGAAAAAAATTATTCTTAGCAAAATAGGCTTTGATTTTGATGTTTCTGAATTTAACTTTCGATTTGTTACACTCAATGACATTTTGTTATTGTACAATTCATTAAATTTTTATCGAAAACTAGCTTTCACGAATGATGAAAAAAGAGATATGATACAAATTTATTACAAATACGATAAAAGCAGTATTAGGACATCGAAAATGTATTCAAACTTTTGTTTGAAGGTGATTGACAATATTTCATGATGAATTTCACTAGTTCGGACTTCCATTGTCTACCATACAAAATTATTTGAAAACCCTGAAACAACTAAAAAAGAAGAATTGAAAATTGTTATATTCAGCTATTAATTTTCAATTCTTCTTTTTCAGTTGTTACAGGGATTTCAAATCATTTTATATAGTAGACAATGGAAGTCCGAACTACTGACATTTATATATTTAAACTTGTATCCCGAAAAACGACAACCACATCGAACAATGTTCAAATTATTGGATCAAAATTTCACAGAGTTTGGTTCGTTTGAAAAGCCAATGAAAAAATACCGAAACAGAATCAACAATCAAAATTTGATAAATGAGGTGTGTATGAGGTTAATGAGACATTTTGTCCTTTTCAATCAAAATACAACTTTTAACAAATAACAATAATTAACGGAAATGTAAAGACAAAAGTGCATCAAAATGCTCAAAATGATGGTCTTGTTCATGATAACACATCTGTTTCCCTCTTACAATATTACTCACTGCACGATTAATTTTTCTCCTCCTCAATCTTCAAAACTCTCTAACAATGCTGTGTTGAAGGTTCTCAATATTTTGATATTCCTTCTGACCATAAACTCTATTTTTCAGTGTACCACATAACAATATATCCATAACACTCAAGTCTGGCCACCTCACCGGCCCATTTTTCCCTATCCATTTATCACCAAACTTTTCAGTCAGGTAATTAGATACTCGTCTGGTAGTGTGCGGTGAAGCACTATCATGTTGAAACCAGATGTTGTTATAGTTAGCCAAAGGTAGATCATCCAAATAGTCTTCGAAAAACGACATTGAAAACTGGTGTTAGGTTTCTCCATTCAGAATTCCTTCAAATAAATGAGGACCCAAAATTCTATCTTTGTAAATTCCTGCCCACACGTTAATAATAAATCGCATTTGAGGTCGAATTTCTCGGAACTACCTAGGGTTGTTTATGCTCCAAATCTGTTCGTTATTTTGGATTGATACCCCATAATTCGTGAAAGTGCTTTCATTTCATTTTCCAGGAAAGCAGGAAAATCAGGTCTTCTTAATATCCAATTACAAAATTATAATTGCCTTTCGGGATCACCTGGAGGCAGTTATTGAGATATGTGTATTTTGTAAAATTTTGAACCGCTTTTTTTGAGATGTCTCCAAGCACTTGTATGACAAATATTCATTTCGGAGGAAATTTGACGTGTTTATGACATGTTCATCTGCAAATTATTAATTTTCATTGAAAAGGGCACAAGGTCTAACTTACCTCATAGGTACCTCATTTATAAAAATTTCTTTAGTTTTCTGATCCATTCTGTTTCCGTATTTTTTCTCAGCTTTTCAAATGAACCAAACTCGGTAAGATTTTGATTCTATAACTTGAACACAGTTCGATGTGGTTGTCGTCTTTTGGGACACAAGTTTTCAATCACATTTTCGATGTCCTAACACTGTTTCTACTATATTTGTAATAAATTTGTATCATATCTTTTTTCTTCATTCGTGAAAGCCATTTTCCGCCGAAAATTCAATGACTTGTACAATAACAAAATGTAATTGAGTGTAACACATCAAAGACAAAACCTATTATGATAAGAATTTTTTTCTCAATATCTCTGAATTTTCGAAAAACAATGATAACTCATGATACATCATTGAAAAGGTTGAATTTGGTTCTATTCAAAACAGAAAAAATCCAATATAGCGTCCAAAAGAAAAAATAAAGTTGATGATGGTGTCAGGAAGACAAAACGTCGAATAGCAAATCTGAAAACACCGTTATATGGTAGGGAAAAAGTGGTAGCGTAGAAATGCAGTTTATTTTCGAATCTTTCAAAAAACCATTTTCCGAAATTTCTGTTTTAACCGGATATCTCCGGATATACTCGAAACTTCAGAACTTTCTCAACGGCATAGTGCTACTCAGGTGAATGCGCAACTTTACCCCAACGTAACCATCTTCGTATTTCTCATAGTTTCCGAGATCCCAATGGCCAGGATCGAATTTTAGACACCCTGTATAATTCAAAATTCTAACTTAAAATGATGCATGGCTTAATACGAGATAAAAATTAAGGCATTGTCAGCGTGTCAATGCTGACACGTGAGCTCATTTTTGGTGGCACGCATCTTCGAAGTTGAAAAAATGTATGACTCACTCGAATAAAAAAGCAGAAACACATTGTGAAGTTCCAAACTTCCGCACCAGAATATGATAAACGCATTAACAACTCATAAGTTCAGAAGCCTAGAACAGACAACTTGAATGGTTGAGTATTCTGATGTAGTTGAGTACAATCCTTTGGAATAGCAGGATTTCAATGGATACAATTTCGCAAAATGCAAGGATTTGTTGAATTGAGATCAGAAGTTGAAAAAATGGAATGAAATCGTACGAAGGATGAAATGAGTACAAAATACAAAGAATAAATTTCGAAATCTTAGAACAAATTACCTGACGCTCATATACGAACTTAAAAGATTTAGCAATTGCTTCGTCAACAACTTTTTCATCCACATATTTTTCTGAGACAGTATTGATTGATATTCAGACGAACAAACGAAGTCGGTCAACAGTCACAAATTTTATATTTTTTTTTATTTATCAACTCGAAAAATTATAAATACGTTTATTTTTTTTGACATATCGAGCTCTGAAGGTTCGTCATCACTGAACTAGGGCAACACTAGCTGAATATTATTAATCACTTCTAACTAAATCGATAGTCTTTGTTTTTTACTACGTAAAAAACATTAGTGTTAGTTATTACTATCCTTGAATATGACTAACACTAATTTTCAACACTATATCCTCTTTAAATCTTGCGGAAAACCCTTAGCACAAGTCAAAGGTTTTTGTACATGTAACAGAACGGCCATTGTTATGAAATTATTTAATCATTTTGAAGAAAGCTCTGAAATTTCGTATTTTATAAATTTGCTCATTCGACTGTTCATATTCCACAGCTGTTAACGAACTACTCGGAAAACCGTATCAGCAAGAACTTGATGCGGAAACAGGAATCGAAGCGGCTCTAATTGAATTAGACGACCTAAGAGTATGTAAGTATATATTGTTCACATCGTTACTCTTTGTTATGTTTGAATTACTTTTCTCCTTGTGTTTATTTGGAAACTGTTCTATCTGCAACATTCAACAAATAACGAAATCATCAGATACGATTAGTCACCTGATACAAATTGACTTATTTATTAATATACTTCATTTTTCGGGTCATCTTCTCATATTGTTATTTTTAAACTTCCTATTCTTGCCGATGCGATTAAAACATCGTTCAACTCAAAAGGGACGAACTAACCATATTGTAAAATGTAACTAATTCGTTAACGTTGTTGAACAAAGGAAATTGCAAATTAACTTTACCATTATATATGAATATGAAGTTTTTTCCCAACACCAAATCGTTATTTTTAACACCTCGATAAGTGTTTCGATCACCAAGTGATCATCTTCAGAAAGGAAGATCAAAACTAGAAACTATTGCGAGCTAACCCTATTTATGCTATGTAGGTAACCCATACAGGTAAAACATCCAGGCGTACCAACCATACAGGTATACCAACCTAAATTAATTTTACAATTTTGCCTTATCTATTATTTCACAATATATGTTTATATAAAACAATTTCCAGCTATATGAAAATTAATTTCACAATGTTGCCTATCCAAATGTATTTTTGCAATGTGTCCTTATGTAGTAATCAGTAACCCAACAACATTATTTTATTTTATTTTAACAAGCTATTTAGTATGCTCTTTGGTATAGGGCCGTCATCGTTATTCATAATATTATTGTGTTTACTCATTTCTACACTCTCATAGGCATCTAGTTGCCTGTTAACTTGTCTGAGTAATCTTAATGAACTGAAGTCTATGGAATGGTTTTGTTGCAAAATATGATGAGCGACTGCTAATTTTTCAGGTCTTCCATATTCCAAGTGTGCTATGTGTTCCTTATATCTTACTTAAATAGATCTTTTTGTCTGTCCATAATAGTTTGCATCGCAGTCCTTACATTCAATTTCGTAAATTCCAGACTTTTCTGAATTCTCGACTTTGTCTTTAGGACTTCCCAAAAGGTCTGTAGTGTATGACTTGTTTTAAAAACCACATTCATACCTAGTTCCTTGAAAATCTTTCCAAAGTTCCTCGTATATTGGTGGTATGGAACTGATATGTATTTATCTTGGTTCTTGTCCTTTCTGAAAGTCGAGATTTCGTTAATTCTTAACCTAAACTTCTTCCTCATTATGTCATCTACAATACCCCTCGAGAAACCGTAAGTGGCTGCTATTTCCTGTATTGTACATCTTTCTTTTGTGAACCTATCATGCGTTAGAGGGAAAGTCAAATGACGATGCACTAAAAAACTCAACCCAGCACGTTTGTGCTGTCCACAGTGATGTGAACTGTCAGGAATATACCTGTACGTGCTTGTTTTTTTCTAAATATATCGTATTCTAACCCTCCATATTGGCTCCTCATTGCCAAAACGTCAAGAAATAGTAGTTGTCCCGCATTTTCTAACTTATTCGTGAATTTTATTGATGGACATCTATTATTCAAAATGGAAACAAAGTAGTCAATATTCGATTCTTTGGTATCGAATATCGCGAAAATATCATCCAGATACCTTAACCAAATCCTAGGAAAATACTTCGACTTTTCTTTGGTTTCCATTTCGAATCTGCTCATGAACAGGTCTGCCAGGTAAGGGGACAAGGGGTTTCCCATGGCCATAAAAATTAAAAGATTCCAAACCAAGTAACTTCACGACTTTTCGATTGTTGGTATTAATCGTCTTCGGGTGATAACGATTGTGGATAGGTACTAACAATCGAAACGTCGTGAAGTAACGTGGTTGGAAATCTTTCAATTTTCATTTCTAGTTAATGATTTTGTAATATTCATCTCGTGTTAATAATTCAATTTTTTGATTTTTTGGTTGTTGCTTGTAATTTACTTAATTCTATCTGAATTATTTTTTGCTTAATATAATTGTTTTTTCAGCTAATCTTTTTATATTTATTCACAAATTATTGCATAAAACAATTGGTTTTTTGCCAAAGTTTCAAATTTGATTTGATTGAATTCTGCCACAAACTTATCAACTACTATGGTTTTTCAGTTTTATGAGAATTGATAATGTAATTATAATAAAATTACCAACCGGAAAAGAGTTCTTCCATGTTGAAATTATTACTGAATTCAAAAATCATCAAACATCTTATATATGTATGAGGAAAAATAACACTGTAGTGAACAAAATATTCAAAATATACCAAACACAATAACATGAAACAAACGAATGGCTTTATCTATGATTTTGATAAGGTAGTACCTGTTTTCATTGATGTAAAAAAAGTCGAAATAGAAAATAAAAAATATCACTATATTTTCCTGATTAAGTTGAATTATGCAGTATTGTGGCCATAAATATCACTTCTAGTGTTGACACTATCTTGTTTGAGAATGTGAATCATTTCGCTCAAAAGTATTTTAGATAAATATGGTATGAATGTAGAATCCTAGGATGTGCGAAAGCAAAAAAGTGCCCACGTCCTCTCTCACGATCAACAAGGACTCTGAAGTTCTTGCTATTGAGTTTTTTAGAATATCGTATGTGTTCAGGAACACTCTTGTTTCGAGTTTGGTTTGGCCAACAAAACATATGGGACAGTTTCCACAATTCACTTTGTAAACTGAAAACCAAGTACTTTTTCCAAAAATGAACTTTTGAGCCGCTAGTATTCCTTTTCTAGCAACTGCCAAAGTGACTTTGCTTGTCGCGGACCTTGTCAATGACTGTGATTCAGCCAGAATAGCAACAACTTTACTACAGGACCAGCTCAATGATATTGCTCGTCAACTTAATATGCTGAGACAACAGTGTAGCTTGCAAGATCGACCTCTTTGTTTTACCCTTCAGTATCATGGATTTGAAACATCTTTCTCTGTTGACAACGTAAGTAAATTTTCAAAATATTTGGTCTTGAAGAGCACATTCCGGATAATATCATGAATTCTAACGATGTGGTTCCATATGCCATATACCAAGGGGGTCTAGAAGTTACTTGGTATTAAATTGATGATGTTATCTGCAAGTAGCACATCATCTATTGAATATCAGGTAGAGATGAACTTCTTCCCATGGCCACTCTATAAAAAGAATACCGCAACGCCTTCGCATTTCACCAACCACGTGACTTCCTTCAAAATTAACTGCAGTGGGTGCTTTAAGACTCAACTCATGAACTGATATATTCAATGATGTTATCAACTATATGTGACACATGAAGGATGACCTTCAAACTTTCGACTTATAGGTTGATCGGATGAGAGTAACTAAAGTCTATCCAAATCCAAGATAGAGTGAATGTAAACATTGACATGCCCTACGCACGTGATATTGAAAATCCCAAGAATTGGCCAGGGTCGTATTCAGAACCAACATCTTGTTGATCGCAAATGCTATATCATACTTAGGAAAACTTTTTTATATAACGAGTGAAGTGCACAAGTTTTGCAGTTTAAGGGGAAAAAATGCAGATAATATGTGTAATATAAAAAGATTTCCATTGGATTTTTCACAGCGCACTCAAGCATTATATGAAAAGAAACGTAATCATATCATTATTGATAATTTTTATTTTATGTAAAATCAAAAGGAATATTAATCAAAATTATTCAACTGGATGAATTTGTGTCTTCATCAGTAGTGTCATCCTCACCAATCTGAATTATCAGTGGCTCGATTTGTGCCTCTATTATGTTATCAAGCTTCCACATCTTTGTCTCGACTTCCGATATCACATGCCGAACACACGTCTCCCATTTCTCCACTGTGACTCTTTTCAAAGCCTCATCAAAAAGTAGTTTGAGATCTGCAAATTTGAACGTGGTTTTATGCTGAGCTACAAAATTCTTTACGTCCGCCCATATTAACTCGATGGGATTGAGCTCGCAGTGGTATGGAGGCAGGCGAAGGACAATTTTGTTTTGGCCTGCTGCCATCTCATCGACTATATATTTTTAGTATTCAAGCTTACGCTCCTTGACAATTTCAAATAGCTGTACTCTTAGCATTGAGTCTTCAAAGCCAATATTCTTTGATCGCAGCCAATTTTGGATTTCAACCTTCTTTGAAGACGTTGTCGGAATATTCTCTAACCGTAGCGAATGATAAAGTGCATTGTCCATTTCAATCACATCATTATCCTCCAGATGGAGTAGAACTTTGGAAAACCACTGTTCGAAAGGTTCACCGTTCATTTCTTCGTGATAATCTACAGTTGTCTTCGACTCGAAACACCACAGCCCTTCAGCAACAAACCCATTATCATTGCCGATGTGACAAATAATAAGCCGTTTTCCTTTACCTGAAATTATGAAGAGGTATGTAAGTAAATAAAACAAATACGAGGGTTACTTTTTATATATTGATATTGAGGCAGGTCTAAATATAAATATAAATATGAGTTTACCTGATGGATTTGTTAATCCGGTGGATAGTCCATCTAGAAAGGCCCTCTTAGATGATGAGGTCACAGTTTCATCGACCCATACTTTAGGGGTAGTATGACCAGCATTAACCCAGGTTTCATCCATATAATAAATTGTTCTCTGTTGTTCCCTATAATATTTAATTTTGGTCAAATACTCTCTTCTCCATAACACAATTTCCTCTCTATCCAATGATAAACTATTGCGCCCTCGTTTTTTCCATACAAAATTGAAATGTTTCAATACTTTATGGAATGTTGACCGCTTAAAACTTGGCAATAAAACATCTTCATTTATTTCTGTGAGTACTTTGTCTATCGTGGGTATTTCATTTCTGAAAAATACTCATGAACTTTCCTCCTGATTGCATGTTTATCAGCATCATCTATTGATTTTATAATGGTTTGACGATTCTGATTTGTATTCGGTTTGGAAAATGTATTATTTTGTTTATATTCCCGTAAAACATTGTAAATCGAAGCGCAACACACTCCAATTTTATCGGAAATTTTCGATACGACTTCGTCGACAGTCGGTGTCTCAATATCTTCCATCCCTTTCTTGAACACATTTAAAATCACTTCTTTCATCTCAACACTCAAATGTCTTTTTTGGATCGTTTCCTAGCTGGACTCAGAGGATAGCTCACAGTGTCATCAGCAGTGTCTGTACTGGACATCGTGGAAAACAATTTTAAACAATATACTATAACGCACGCCACACAAACACGCAAACGACCGATTACAACCCTGTGCTGGTACCGAACTAGTACCAAGAAGGCGAATTCACCAATGAACACCATCTGATACTGGGCAATCACGTGAACATCACTCTTCGGTTTTGTTTTGTTTCACTCTATCTTGGATTTGGATATACTTTAGGTTTATTCAAAACTATACAAAAGTAATTTTCTATTGAATACTTTTACATTTAACAGACTGTATATACATTACATACCCATGTGTTTCGGTGGAGGGTCGAAGAGACCCTCTTTGGATCTAACCTAACCTTCCCATGTGTTAGTTCTCAATTTCAATCCATCATCTCGATGAAATATTGATTTCATAATCTATATTTTATTCCCAATTACAATTGTTGTTATTTCACAACTCTCTGAAATTTCTGAAGGTGGTGAGATCAATCCACTCAATATATTACACAATGGTGAACACTTCTAAATGAAGTTTTATGTCATCATAAACCCATACGTTTGACAAGACACCCCAATTTCATTGATAAGAGGCTGGGAACTAGTTCTGTTATCATTAGTTAGTAAATATTGTAGAGTGCAATAACTTTACCCGACACGATTATGTCTAGTTTTGAACATGTAGATTGATATTGGATTCAGTAGTGAATGTAGATTTAGTTGATAGTTGTGAGATCTAATTCGAGTGAAACATCAAAGTGAACTTCGTAGTTTGGTCATTCAATATTTTTTACGTGTATTCTACAGCAGTGATATAACTCATGCTGTTCTGTTCAAATATGTATTTCATGTCCGCCATTGCTACACATATTTTTCATTTCTCCAGATATAACCAATGTTGCTCAAAAAGTTATCTCCACTGAAATTTCTCAGTAGGAGATTTGAGCCGGTTCTAAGCCTCCCCCCACCACTATGACGTATTAATTGCTTTTTTATTGGTTGTTGTTTGGTGAAGTCAAGGTGATGTGACCTTGAAGGGTGT